CATAGATCTTATAGGTAAGCTGTTCTTTGCTATCCCAATTTGCTTATGATAGCTCTCCTTATGTCTAAATCATGTACCCATTTTGACCTTATCTTGGTCTAGCTATGCCATATGTATACCTAGTTTCTGCATGACTATTTTGCAGTTTTCCCAGAAGTTTTCGTCAAATAGTAAGTTCTTATTGCATAAACTGGAGTCTTTGGGTTTATAAAATGGTAGATTACTAGTCATTTACTATTGTGCCTTTTGTACCTAATCTATGTCATTGATCCACCACTCTACTTCTTAGCCAGTACCAAATATTTTTATTATTGCTGCTTTATAATACAGTTTCAGATTTATTATGGCTAAGCCACCTTCCCTTGTATTTTTCCTTTAATTCCCTTGATATTCTTGACTGTTTGTTCTTCCAGATGAATTTTGTTGTTATTTTTTTCTAGCTCTATCAAATAATTTGTGGTTGTTTGGCATGGCACTGATTACATAAATTAATTTAATTAGAATGAGTGCTATATTTTGTAAAAAAACAAAAGTTTTTTTTCTGTATCTATTGAGATAATCATATGATTTCTGTTGGTTTTTTATTAATATGATCAATTATGCTGATAGTTTTCCAAATATTGAACCAGCCCTGCATTCCTGGTATAAATCCCACCTGTTCATATCCTGAAGATAAATTGCTGTGATCTCTTTGCTAATATTTTATTTAAAATTTTTGCATCACTATTCATTAGGGAAATTGGTCTATAACTTTCTTTCTATGTTTTGAATCTTCCTAGCACTATATTTTGTAATTAAAGGAATTTAGTAGGATTCCTTCTTCATCTATTTTTCCAAATATTTTATATAGTATTAGAATTCATTGTTCTTTAAATGTTTGGTAGAATTCACTTGTAAATATATCTGGCCCTGGAGATTTTTTTTTCTTAGATACTTCATTGATGACTTGTTTAGTTTATTTTTTTCTAAAATAGGGTTATTTAATTATTTTAATTTCCTCTTCTGTTAATTTGGGCAGTTTGTATTTTTTGTAAATGTTCATCCATTTCAATTAGATTGCCAGATTTATTGGCATTCAATTGGGCACAATACCTCCTAATTATTGCTTTAATTTCCTCTTCATTGGTGGTGAGTTCAGCCTTTTCATTTTTGATACTGGTAATTTGGTTTTCCTCTTTCTTTTTTTTTTAAATCAAACTAACCATGGGTTTTTCATAAAAACTAATAAATAATTTTATTTATTAGTTCATTAGTTTTCTTACTTTCAATTTTATTAATCTCACCTTTGATTTTCAGGATTTCTAATTTGGTGTTTAATAGGGTATTTTGAATTTGTTCTTTCTCTAGCCTTTTTGTTGTATGCCCGGCTCATTTATCTGCTCTTTCTCTTATCAATGTAAGCATTTAGAGATATAAAATTTCTCCTAAGTACTGTTTTTGCTGCATCCCATAAATTTTAGTATGTTGTGTCATTATTGTCATTGTCTTTAAGGAAACCATTGATTATTTCTGTGATTTGTTGCCTGACCCATTCATTCTTTAGAATTAGATTATTTAGTTTCCAATTAACTTTTAAGCTTTCCATGACCCCTTATTACATGTAATTTTTATTGCATCATGATCTGAAAAGGACACACTTAACATTTTTGCCTTTCTGCATTTGCTTGTGAGGTTTTTATGACTTAATACATGGTAAGCTTTTGTGTAGGTGCAATGTACTGCTGAGAAAAAAGTTTTATTCGTTTCTATCCCCATTCAGTTTTCTATGGAGGTCTATCATATCTAACTTTTCTAAAATTCTATTCACTTCCTTAACTTCTTTCTTGTTTATTTTGTGCTTAAATTTTTCTAGTTCTGAGAGGGGGAGGTTGAGGTTCCCCACTAGTATGGTTTTACTGTCAATTTCCTTCTATAACTTCTTTAACTTCTTTAGAAATTTCGATGCTATACCCTTTGGTACATATATATATATATTTTTTAGTATTGATATTACTTCATTGTCTGTGGTACCTTTTAGCCTTTCCTTGTCTCTTTTAATTAGATCTATTTTACTTTTGCTTTGTCTGAGATCATGATTGCTACACCTGCTTTTTTTTTTACTTCAGCTGAAGCATAATATATTCTGCTCCTACTTTTACCTTTACTTTCTGTGTGTCTCTTTATTTCAAATGTGTTTCTTGTAAACAACATTTTGTAAGATTCTGGGTTTCGATCCACTCTGCTGTCTGCTTCCATTTTGGGGGGGGTGGGGCAGGCAATGGGGCTAATGACTTGCCCAGGGTCACACAGCTAGTAAGTGTCAAGTGACTGAGGACAAATTTGAACTCAGGTCCTCCTGACTCCAGGGCTGGTGCTCTATCCATTGCACCACCTAGCTGCCCTAAGTCTGCTTCCATTTTATGGGGCAGTTCATCCCATTTGTATTCACAGTTATGATTATTAACTATGTATTTCCTTCCGTCCTATTTTTCCCCTGTTTATACTTTTTTCTCTCTCTCCTCTCACCCTGTCCTTCCTCACCAGTATTTTGCTTCTGTCTACCACGTCACTCAATCTGCCCTCCCTTCTATCAGGCCGTCCTTTTCTTTTGCTTTCCCCTCCTACTTCCCTATAAGATTTCTATACCCAACTGAGTGTGTATATTACTCCGTCTTTGAGCCAAATCTGATAAGATGAAGGTTCAAACAATGCTGATCCCCTCCCTTCTTTCCCTCTACTAAAATAGGTGTACTGCACCCTCTTCATGTAATATAATTTACTCCATTCTGCCTCCCCTTCCCTCTTCTCCCAGTACAATCCTTTTTTTTTCCAACCACTTTTTTTGTATCATCACATCAAAATCAACTTATATTCTTACTATCTATGTATATTCCATCTAACTGCCCTAATAGAGATAAAGTTCTTAAGAGTTAAAGTATCTTCCTATGTAGGGATGTAAACAGGTTAACTTCATTGAATAACATAGGTTTTTTTTTTCTTTCTTGTTTATCTTTTTTCCTGTTTACTCTTGAGTCTTGTATTTGAAGATAAAATTTTCTGTTTAGCTCTGATCTTTTCATCAGGGAAGTTTCCTGGTCCTCTATTTCATTGACCATCCATGTTTTTTCTCCTGAAAGATTATGCTCAATTTTTCTGGGTAGTTGAACTTTGGTTGTGATCCAAGTTCTTTTGCACTCCAGAATATCATATTGCAAGCCCTCCAGTCCTTTAATGTATAAACTGCTAAGTCCTGTGTGATCCTGACTACGGCTCCTTGATATGTGAATTGTTTCTTTCTGGCTGCATGTAATATTTTCTCCTTGACCTGATAGTTCTAGAATTTGGCTACAATATTCCTTGGAGTTTTCATTTTGGGATCTCTTTCAAGAGGTAATCAGTGGATTCTATCAGTTACTATTTTACCCTCTGGTTCTAGGATATCAGGGCAGTTTTCCTTGATAATTTCTTGAAAGATGCTGTCCAGGCTCTTTATTTTTATCATGGCTTTCAAGTAGTCCAATAATGCTTAAATTATGTCTCCTGGATCTATTTTCCAGGTCAGCTGCTTTTCCAATGAGATATTTTACATTTTCTTCTATTTTTTCATTCTCATGATTTAGTCTGACTGATTCTTGATGTCTTATACAGTCATTAGCTTCCAGTTGCCCAATTCTAATTTTTAAGGAATTATTTTCTTCGGTTAGCTTTTGTACTTCCTTTTCCATTTAGCCAATTCTGCTTTATAAGGAGTTATTTTCTTCAATTTTTATGCTCCGTTTTCTAAGCTGTTGACTCTTTTTCTCATTATTCTCCTGCATGACTCTCATTTATTTTCCCAATTTTTCCTCTAGCTCTCTTTGGGCTTGAGACCAATTCACATTCCCCTTTAAGGCTTCACATGTAGGCATGTTGACATTGTTGTCCTCTTCTGAATTTGTATTTTGATTTTCCCCATTGCCATAGTAGCTTTCTATGGTCAGAGCTTTTTTGTTTGTTTTTTGCTCATTTTGCAGCCTATTTTGTGACTTTTGAAAGGTCAGCCCTGCTCCTGGGGTGCAGGGGTACTGTCCCAAGCTTCTTTTGTTTGGAGCAAGGGGCCTGGCCACTGGCTTTCTGTGCAGGTGGCTCTAGGTGTTGTGACTTGCCCACCTGTTTGCTAGGGGTTCCAGGGATGGCAGTTTGCCTGCTGCACTGGGCTGGAAGCCTCATGGCTAATCTGCTGTGCCACTGGCCTGCTAAGCCAGGACTGCAGAGCCTTAGTTGCTAATCTGTGCTGTGGCAAAGAGCCTCCCATTGGCTTGCCCAGATCCTGCCTGCACTACATTGCACTGCCCTTTTACCTAAGTGAGACAGACCTACCCTACAATTCTCCTAAGTTATCTTGGGTTAGAAAATTGTTTCATCCCATCTTTTTGTGGGTTCTGTCATTCTAGAATTCATTTAGAGGTGTTTCCAGGAAAACTAGGGAGAATTTAGGCAACTTCCTGGTTTTTCTTGGCCATCTTGGCTCCTCCTCCTAGGGTGTTGCTATTGAGCAAACCCTAGTTCCTAAACTATAAGTCCTGGGTTTTTTATTCCCAATTCAATTCTCATACCTGTTGGGAGATCTAGAACTGAGTCTATTTCCATCTAGTCCAACCCTATTACATCCTTATTCTAAGAAACCACAAGATTGCTTTCATGACTAACTTTGAGCTTTCAGTCTACTAAACTTACCTATTAATGTGACATTAAAAGAATATTCAGAAATAGGTCATTTCACTTAGTAATTTCCATTTCACCTGTCCATGATAATAGGTAAATAACAGTTTAATGGAAAGGTAAAGAAAAGGAAGAAATTAAGAACAGACAATCCTCTGAATAATTACTTAATAAATAATAGAATGTTGGCTACTGACCTCAAAGTTCCCTATCATGTCTAAATCAATATTGTTATATTATAAGAAACATCCCATTGTCTTTTATCCTGAAAATATAAACTTTTATGATGTTATAAACTTATTTGTTCTTTCTCTTTCTAGAAGTTGATGGTGTTCCAGTATCTGCGATTTCAGGACCTTTCTCAACAGAGGATATAGCAAGCAGTTGTATCCCTGGTTCACCTTCAAAAGAACCCATTTTGTGGATTGTCTCATATGCTCTTATGAGTTTGTGTGGAATTATCTTCCTCATATTAATCTCACTGATGTTTCCATTCTGTTGTCTGCATTCCTCTCATGATCCTAATTTAGTCAATGATGAATCATGTCTAGTACAGCATCGCTGGAAATAACCATCTTGATCCAGACCCAAGGAATTTGGGAGTCTACTATTAACAGTTTAAGTGAAAAATGAAACAACAAGGACTACAAGCCAACGTTTTCTCCTATATACATTATAGTGTCAAATCATTGGGTTGTTTGTTTTTTGTGCTTTTTTTTTGCTGTATGCCATCCAGATTCCTATGTCTTGAGCCTTCATTTTAAAGTTTCCAATCCTCAAGGGAGGAAAAACTATCCTAAACTAAAATACTGTAATTGTATGTGACTGATTATTCTGTGTAATACTGGATGCCAGAACCTAATGACATGCTTAAAAATGAAAAATAATAATAAGTTCTCTTATACCTCAAAATCGCTTCCAAAATAGAGAATATATCTTCAGATTTCATCTATGAAAGTAAAATAAGAATTTTTTCTTTACTTATATTTATTAGTGATTTTCTTCAATTTTAACATATCTTAGTGTAATGTAAAGATTGATCTTATGATGGCAAGAAAAACTATATGAGTTTACTGAACCTGCTATTCTCTCCATTTTTATAAGTTCACAATAGGCATTTTTATGGCCCTTCTGTATAACTTGGACAAGAATTCTAAAATGCTTAGTTACGTTGTTACCATCACTTGACAACCTTTACTTGTCTGTGTTTTTTAGGATGGTGAGGAACCCTCTTGTCAGTATCACATATACCACATGAATAGAGTTTCTAAACTCTCAATTGTGCCTGCTAGAATACTTCTAAACCAGTCATCATTAAAGACATTTATATTCATTCACATAAAAACATAAAAGACCCTCTTTGTTTCATCTGCTTTTGTTGAGGTATTTCCCTTTTCACAGGCCATCAGAACTGCAGTAACTTTTCATATTTAGATTTCACCTTAATGGGTAAATTCAGTTTCACCTTTTGGCATGGATAGCAGATATTTATGACTAGATTTCAGTGGACTTAGAAGAGAAAGGTGAAAATGAATCAAAGGACAATTTTATCCAGCTTTTAAAACTGTGGAAGTACTACTTCCTGTGCTCAGATACCTCTACATCTATACATGAGGCTTATGCTTTATTATATCTAAGGTATAATGATTCTAGCTTAGCTTGAAATACAATATTCTCTCACTTTGGGGATATTCAATTTTTAGGCAATAAGAAATGGATAGAACTGATATTTTATATGTAACAGGTCTCTTCTTTAAATAGGTAGGAATTGGGAAAATTCTCAACTGCTATTTATTCAATCCTTAGATATGGAGCTGATGGACTTATAAAATATTATGTAATTAGGATTTTGAGTGTTTGAAATAATTGATTTTCAACATTTCCCCTTGCCCCTTCTCTTCGTGTTATGTTATGTCCAGTTATCATTGTCAGCCAAGTGGATATTCTCTGTAATCACTCTGATCCCATGTAAAGTTCCATGTAAATATTTATTTCCTCTGGCCAGAATTTCTTTTGCAGTTATAATAATTCTTATCAACAATCCATACCTTCAACATACCAAGCAATTTCTCACTGACTTGAATGTTATTTCTACATTTTATTTTTTTTGTTTGTTTGTTTGTTTGGTGAGGCAATTGGGGTTAAGTGACTTGCCCAGAGTCACAAGCTAGTGTTATGTGTCTGAAGTCATATTTGAACTCAGGTCTCTTGACTCTAGGGCCAGCGCTCTATCTACTGTGCCACCTAGCTGCCCCTATTTCTACATTTTATGTCTTCACTGATGGAGATCATTCCTGGTGAGGAAACTCCCCACACCAATGCAAATCAGCAATTGTTCTGCAACTTTTAGCTACTTACCTGGGTTGCTAAAAATCTTACTAGACTTGCCTAGGTTTTCATTCAGTCATTACGAATCAGAGGCAGGACTTGAACTTCCAGACTGAGGCAAGTTCTCTGTCTTCTAGATGACCCTGAATGCTCCACTTCTATATGATGATATATATGACCATACAGAACAGCTACCTTAGCCCAGAAGCCTTATTGATATACTGAAGATAGCTCTATTAGATGTGTGTGTGTGTGTTGTGTGTGTATGTATACAGAGAGAGAGAGTGCTCCATTAGCTCTAATTTCTATAAGCAATCGATCAACAACTATTTTTAAAGCACGTAATATGTGCTAGGCATTTCCCTAGACAGCAAAAATGAAACAATCCCTCCTCACAAATAGTTCAGTGAACTCTGTGTTTGGAAAGAGTAAATTCATATTAATTGTAATATAGGCTGGCTACCCAATCCATAAGCTACCTTTTTATCCTCCCCCCCATATAATGTTTTCCTTTTCCTTTTTCTTTTTCTTTTTGGAAAGACGGTGTTATATAGTAAGTATCTAGCTTTGAAGTCAGAAAAAAAAAGTGTTCAAGTATGTAACACATAGTAACTCTGAGACCCTAGGCAAATCGCATAAAACTCTTACTGCCCCAGTAAGTTTTCTAAGACTATATACATTGCAGGATAGTTGCCAGTCCCCATGGTTAAAGGCAGTTTCCTCACCAAACCATCCCCAATTAATTAAATATTTGGCCTAGACAAAAAAAAAAAAGCAAAGAGTTTTATTTAGAGATGAGATGGGGAATATGGCAACTTGCTATTGGAGGAGACTGTGAAATAGGAATTCTAATAAGTCTAAACCCATCATTTTAGTCATAATCCATGTCCAGAAATAATACTTGAGGAAGCCAGTGCCTTTTTTGTCAGTGATATTCCTTGCCACACTTAGCTTTTATTAGTCAATTTTTTAGAGTTCTTCGAACAGGGTATTAGACCCAGAATCTGTAGGAAGTATCCTTTCTTCTTTGCTACTGAAATGTAAATGCCTTTGAAATAATAATAAAAAAAAAAGCCATGACCTGATTAGTTTTACTGTGTATTTCTTTATCAAGATTTATTTTATTTTGTTGGTGCTTAATGCTATTAAAGCAAAATAACTTCTTAGTACCTTAATATACACTACACACTATTTCAATGAAATTGCATTAGTATTCTGTGTTCCACAGTAAACTCCTCTTGTTTACCTTTCATTTAGAATGTCATGATATTTTCACAGAAATATCTGAATTATATAAGTGTAATGGGGACTTGGAATCATACTCACATCACCTAATGTGGAGGTAACTTGCTTTTGGGAGAAGACATCCTATATTTCCCTCCTACAGAGGAGGCAACAGTCTCTTTCTATTGGCTGCTTAGCCAGAACAGATTTCATTTTTAAAAACCACTAGACTGGAACATTCACTGTCTTTCCAATATACTCTTTGCAAGATTCTAGTGAGGGCTACAAAAAGTGGAAGTCATCCACACCACAGGTGCCATAAACCTGGTGGGAGTTGGGGAAGGGGAAAGGACTTCCTTCCCCTGCCCTCCCTTTTGGCCCCATGGCTCTGAGATTTCGGGATTCCAGGTGGGACAATATAAGCAGCCAGTCTACCAAAAATGCGATGACAAATTACACAGGGCAAAATTTCCTTTATATACCTTATAAATGGAATACACACACACACACACACACATAAACGTACACCTACCTTACAAATGGAATCCAAACTTTGAGGAAAAATGATTTCTGCAAAAAGAAAGCAAAACAATGCAAAAAGCTACTGGCAATGCTAACTTCATTAGGCTAACAAATTTATACTTTAGAATGGCAAAAATTCAATTAAGGTTGCTTTGGCAACAATGAAAAAGAATGCTTCAAAGTGTTATAAAGTTTTATTGATCTGATTTATTTAAATTGCAAACATGTTTAGATCACCCCCATTCTGTGAGAATTCTCCTTTACAAAGTAAAACGATTAAGCAAAATTTCATTTCATCTGAAAGTGCACGCAATATCCCACATCTATGGCACCCTGCTCTTCCATCTCTCTATTTTTAAAGTGTTTTTGTTTTAATTAGCAGAAACCTGCTTTCTCTCCCTCTTACCACCCATCTCATTGGGGGAAAAAAAGAGAAAAGAAAAGCAAAATCCTTGCAACAAATATATATATAGTCAGACAAAACAAATCCCCTCATTGTTTACATACAAATATATATGCATATATGTATGTATACATACGTGTGTATATACATACATTTTTTAGAGAGAGCTATATAATAATTATCCTATAAATTTATATATAATTGTTATGATTGAAAATTAAGGTAAACTGAGAAATAATGGTCTGAGCATGATCAATTTATTGATTAGGCTAGCAATAACCAAGAAATTGGGTGTATGGCCTCTCATTAATCAAAGACCTCAAAGTAGGGTTCACTAGCCTTCATAAAGTTTTGGAAAGTACAGAGTTGGGTAGGTGGAGAAGATAATGCAATTGGTTATATGGTAGACAGCAACATGATTGGTTACATCAAGAAAACCAGACTAACACCCATGTGGGGTTAGTAACCACCCCTCTCCAACAATTAAGAAATGTTTATTGTTTTATGGGACCCATCCACATCTTACAATCTTTGCTAGAAGATCAAAACTACCACACCTGTCTCCTTAGAAAAGATTTAAAACTCCACTATTGCACAAGGACAGGCAAGGGCAAATAATATATCTTTTGGCGATTATACCAAGTTAATTTGTAAATTTAAACTAACTCATAACTAAATTTCTGAGCTTAACTTAAGGACATAAAAGTGGCTTGAGGTAGACGCAGATTCAATTATAAAATTAATGGAGCATAAAATCAAATACATTGTAGAATCAATAAAGTAGAAATCAATGCAGTAGAAATTCAAGGTAATATGAATTTTCATCTTTTTATAACTTCTCTATAATTTACATATAACAGCTATTCTATAATAATAATATATGCATATGTATTACAGAATTTTAAAATTCTGTATCCTGAAATCTATTACTTCTCTGTCAAGAGCTTAATAGTATGTTTCATCACGGTGACTGTATTGAGCATATAGTGCTTATAGCTTTAAAAAACATTTGTTTTTACAATGTTGTTATATAAATTAATCTCCTGGTTCTGCCTTTTTAATTCATCATTTTATATAAAGTCTTCCAATTTATTCATATTTACGTAAATTGTTCTGCTTTTGCTTATTTCTTTCTGTATCAGTTCATCTAAGTTTCAGTTCTCTTTGAAATCATCTATTTCCTCATTTCTTATAGCACAATAGATTGTTGTTCAGATGGTACTATTATTTAACCTTTCCTCAACTGATGATTATCTCTGGTTTCTAGTCTTTTGCCACCACAAAAATAGCTTCTATAAATATTTTTCCATTTATAAGACCATTTCCTAAGTCTTTAATCTCTTTTGACTATAGCATTTGACTGTTTTAGTAACTTTTTTTTTCAAATTGTTCTCCAGAATAGTTGTACCTATTCACAACTCCCCCAACACTTATCATGTTCTGTTTATGTCATCTTTGTCAGTTTAATAGATGTGAGGTGAAATTTGAATGGCTTTAACTTGGACTTCTCTAATGAGTAGTTTTTTGGAGAATTTTTTCATATAGTTGTAAATAGACTAGTTTTCTTCACTGTTTATTTCCTTAGATATGGGTAATGGCTCTCATTTTTATAAATTTGAATCAGTTCCTTGTATATCTTGGGAAGGAGACCTTTACCAGAGAAACTAACTGCTAAGATTTTCTTCCAGTTAATTTTTTTCCCCCTTTTAATCTTGGATTCATTTGTGCAAAACTGTTTAATTTTTTGTAATCAAAATTATCATTCTATCTTTTGTGACTTTTTTATCCCATTTGTTCATGAACTTTTCTGCTATTTGTTGATCTAATATGTAATTTTTTCCATGTTTCTCAAATTTGTTTACGATATAGCCTTTTATATCTAGGTCACTCATGCATTTACAATTTATCTTGTATGTGGTGTGAGACATTGATCTAAACCTAATTTCTTCCATACTGTTGTCCAATTTTCCCAGCTCTTCCTTCCCCCAGTGCCTAGTCTTTGTGTTTGAGTCCTAGTATATGAGATATTTATTTCTGTTCTACTGATCTATTTTTCTATTTTTTTGTCCAGTGCCAAATTGTTTTGAGAATTACTGCTTTATAGTGTAATTTAAGAACTGGAACCACTAGACTTTCTTTGTTCCCACTCTTTTTCATTACTTCCTGAGAGGTTTTTTTTACCTTTTTCCTTTATATGAATTTATCATTTTTTCTAATTCTGTGTAACTCTGTGGTAGGTCGATTGAGATGGCATTGAGTTAATTAAGGTTATATTGCCATTTTATTATTTAGGCTGCCAATCCATTAATATTTTTTCAATTACTTAGATCTATCTTTATGGATCTAAGTAACAGTGGTTTGTAATTGTATTTATATGGTTTTTGTGTATATCTTGGTAGGTAGACTCCCAAGAATTTTATACATTTTATAGTTACTGCATTTATGTACATATATAATAAAATATTTATTTTAAATGGAATTTCTCTTTATATTTCTTCCTGTAAGTTTTATTGATATTATACAATTTGCAGATTTGTTTTATATCTCTCAAATTAACTAAAATTTTTAATAC